ATATAATTACTAGACCAGACAACTTCTCTTTCGTAAATATAATGTATTGCCTCAAGGAGTATAGTTAAGTCAGCCAAAGTTATCAATAAAAATTGCATTCAGTGAAACCCAATATGAAAACCACATGCTAAACCCATCCAGAGGATGTAATCTGAACATAAAACAATGGCGAAACTTTACAGAACATTGTATTTTCTGCAATACATTTGCTCCGCGTAAATATGTCCAAAATGACAGTTTGTGGTGTTCAATTACATTACTTGCTCAGCATCAATTTCCACTGCATAGATTTAGCTAGCCAATATACTCATATCTTTACCACTGAGATTGTATCAGGGCTATCTCTAACAAAGCAATGAACACCTTCCTCGGAATTTGACGGTTTCTTAGCAGGTAATCAGTGAACACCTAGACATAGAAAAAACCTTCCAAAAGTGAGTCAAACGTTACCTCCAAAAATAAATGAAATGGGCCCACATGCACACATAATTCAGACCAACTCAGACCAAAACAATAAACCGGTGCAGGCCTGGACGTTGCTGGCGTGCGTTGTGGCCAAAACAGAAACATTTCTTCACTCTGACTGAGCAATGCAATCAATCGTGTCCAACTTACAGATCCGTGGTTCCGGCTAGCGGGAATAGCAACGGGCACGGGTAGCATCTCTGATTAATTTCATAACATGACAACATCCAAACCCTCGCGAATGGATTCCTTAATCGGAGGACCCACCAAGCTGTCCAATTGCCGGGGGTCTATCTGACCTTGTCCTTGAGTCCAGTTCCGCGAGCACACTCCAACAAGTTTCTTCACGTAAGGCTGATACACCATACAACCACCGCCAGTTCGCTGTAGCTTCTTGCCAGCTGTTCTATTAGGCTAATGGGTGTCAATATCAGAGTTCACCGACTAAAATAATGGATGCTTGTTTCGAACCCCCGCTTGTTAGCTAACTTGAAAGTACTTTAGTGCACTGGTTCATATGTCCAAATGCGACTTATCATTTGCGATAATTTAGAAAAACCAACTCAAATCGCCCTCTCCTCACTTCCGCGCCCACCCCTCAAGCAATCATCATCACGGAATCGACATGGACTAACCCTCTTCCAATAGCAGGCATAATAATCGCACACAAACAATAAGTTTGGTAACAGTACCTCTTGGAGCCTATGTGGGTTTCACATAAACTACAACATTCATAATGCACCTCAATAAATGCAGGATAGCGAAATACTCTTGTTTTCTTGTATTATGAACCTGCATCTACAATTCACACATAGGAAATAACTTCTTTTTTCTATTGTACGTTCTTTATTTGTTCGTAAAGTTGACTCATATCGTAATGTTGGTTTTAGGTAAAAGGATAATTACCTGGGCTACATTCTCCCCCCCCCAAAAGTTTTGATGTCCTCATCAAACCCAAAGTTACAACACCTTTTTTTTTTATGTACGTTTTCTACTCCTCATGCATTAAAACAGTTTCACACTGCAACAATTTTGGCACAATGCCATGGGGTGCACAATGCACCACACAGTATGGCATATTTGATTTCGAGTATCCCCTCAAACTCCACTCCCAATAATTACCCCGCAACTTAGGATAGTTAGAGGTCGGTCTGAGGGCTGTCCTAATTCATCATAGCTTAGCCGCACCACTGGCCTCTTTTCCCTCCTTACTCGTTCAGTTGAACACCCCGCCTTACTCACAGGCACCCCAGTACTACCATGTGCTCCCTCATTAAGTCCTGCGTCCGCAACAAGGTCAGGGGTAGTCATTATATCAGCTTCTTGATTTGTAACTGCATGTTCTTCATCAGTGCTCTAATCATACACCCTAGCCAGTGAGTATGATGGTGGAATAATATCTCTCCAGTTCTGAGGTCCACTAAACACTGCTGGCTGGTGCATTTCATTGTCTGAATCCTCCGATTCAGAAAAGGTCATGTCTGCTCCAGCATTCAAAGTCTCCAAATCAGGGCTCCTACTCAGTTCGAACTCACGCTCTGATGGTTTTCATCAGTATATACTGGCATCCTCACCACGTATCCAGTGGGCAGCAAATGGTTCCGGTGTTCTGTTTTGACTGCACCGGTCCCTCTCTCGGGCTGAACCTGGTAGACAGGGAGGTTCGGCATCTTGCTAACGATAAGGTAAGGAACAGGTCTCCATTTATCTTGTAGCTTGTGCTTGCCAGTGACACCAAAATTCCTTAACAATACACGGTCTCCCACTTCTAAAACTTGTTCCTTAACTAATTTGTCATGGGCTCTTTTGTTCCGGTTATGATTTTTGTAAGCAGCCTATGTAGCAAGCTGGTAGGCTTTGCGTGGGTCGGTGCTGAGCTTCGCGACGTGCTGGTGGTACCTTACTTCCCTTTCACCCTCAGCAAGGATACCAAAACAAAGGTCCACGGGGAGACGGGTTTCCCTACCAAACATCAACAGGTAAGGGGAGTAGCCTGTAGCCTCATTGCATGTGCAGATATAGGCATGTACGAGCTGACAGATGTTTTGGCTCCACTTCTGCTTTTGTTTTGGATCCAGTGTACCCAGCATGGATTGGAGAGTTCGGTTAAATCTTTCCGGTTGTGGATCCCCCTGGGGGTGGTAAGGTGAAGTTCTGGACTTACGGATCCCTAACATTTTCAGGAGGTCTTGAATCAGTTGACCCTCAAAATCGCGCCCCTGATCTGAATGTATACATGTAGGCAATCCGTAGTGCACAAAATACCTTTCAAACAGGATCTTGGCCACTGTTGCAGCTTTCTGATCTTTCGCAGGGAAAGCTTGTGCATACCTCGTGAAATGATCTGTCACCAGTAGTATGTTTGCAAATCCCTGAGAGTCTGTCTCACGTGATAGGCAGTCAATGCACAACAGATCGAGTGGTCCCTTACTAGTGATCTGGTGCAACAGGGCAGCTCTCTGCGGAGGGGTCTTCCATGCAATGCATCTTCCACAGTGCTTGATGTACTGGTCGATCTCATTCCCCATCTTGGGCCAGTAGAAACGGTCTCTGATGAGCTCCGTAGTTTTATTAATTCCTAGGTGTCCACACTCATCATGGAGTGACTTCAATACCATAGGGACATGTTCTTTGGGTAGGAAGAGCTGGTGCACTTGGGCACCAGCGGGTCTCTGTATGACTTGGTGAACTTGCCTATCTATTATCTGTAGCTTTGGGCCCTCTTTTCGAAGCAACATGGTCTCTAAACTCTCACCCTTAACAGGTGTAGGCAATTTCCCATCTCTGATCGCTTGCTTAACAGAAAAGATAATTGGGTCACTATCTTGAGCTTGGACCAGATCTTTCTTCCTGATTTGCTCCAAGAAACCGACTTCAAGGCGGGCTGGAAATGCATAACATTCAGGAAGGGCATCAGGAGAAACACCTAATGGCTCTGTGCAGTTGGGAAGCAAGTAACATGCCTGAAGACAGCATATCTGTTTGCAAAGGGCTTTGATGCTCTCTGGGGGGGATGTCCTGCCACTCTTCACCCTCTTTGGAGAACAGATTGTGTGACAGTGAGTCAGCATCACTGTTACTACTTCCTGGCCGGTACTGGATAGTGAAATGATAGGTGGCCAGTTGCATTTAGCTTGGCTGTTGTTGGTACGTACGTGAGCGTGTTGTTGTCTGTTCTCACTGTAAAGCTTACTCCGTACAAATAATCGTGGTATTTATCCACCACGGCCCATTTTAATGCTAAGAATTCAAGCTGATGCACTGGATAGTTCTTCTCAGCTGAACTAAGTTTGCGGCTGGCAAAACCCACAGGTCCACAACCCTCTGGGTATTCCTGGTTGAGTACCGCCCCCAACCATTGCCGACTGGCATCTATGTGTAACACATATGGCCTGGCGGGGTCAGCGAATGCTAGGACGGGAGCATGTGTGAGGCAACTGATGATGCTCTGAAATACCTCAGTGCAGCTCTGGTCCCACCTGTCACCAAAAGGTTCCTTCCCATTGAGGTATGACATCTCCTTGTTCTTCACATCCTTCCTGCCTTTCTGCTTCGGAGGATAACCCCTGGTAAGCTCAGTGAGGGGCTTGACTATTATAGAGTAGTTTTTTATGAAGCGACAGTAATGGCCACAGAATCCCAAGAAAGACTGTAGAGATGACAGATCAGTTGGCTGCTTCCAGCGGGCTAGAGCTTCAACTTTGGCAGGGTCTGAAACAAAAGAAAAAGGCATACATTTGCTAGTCGGACTCCCTGATCTGGCCAATAAACAGGAGAAAAAAGTTTTCAAATAAAATGGCAGTTCACTCCTACCGCTTCACTACACAGAAACATGGCAGAGCAACCGACGGAGGTCTCAGAACACAAGTTTACAGGTCAACAACAATGCAGTTAATAGTTTGGGGTTTTTCAGATCAATAGCAATGCGGCTTCCAGTTCTGGATCTTAGAACACACGTTTACTGGTTAACAACAATGCAGTTAATACCAGCCGCAATAAACTTTCCTTATGTCTAAATAGGTACCATACAGAAAAAAACAACAAGCACTACCAGAGACAAGTTTATGAGATCGTGTCAAACACATTATATAGTTCATACTCAAATAATGACCAAAAATGCTGTTAACCTGGAGGACGAGGAGCACCAACACCAAGCTGCCTGCGTTGATCCTCATGGTCTTCCTCCGGATCCAGGAGTTAAATAGCCAAGCCCCCGGAGATAGCCAATCCGGGACGACCACACCTCGGCAGCTCAGCCAATCTGCGCTGGACCCGGTACCTGTCAATTAGCAGACTACTAGAGAATTGGGAAAGGAACTCCAGTTCTTTACAACGAAACAGCAATCAAAATAATAAACCCAAAATACAGCCAGGGCCGTAACACGAGCGCCCGGCTAGCCAACAGGAGGCGCTTGAGCAACGAACCAAGTGTCTATTTTTAATATCCCAACCCGGCAGTCCCTTCCCAATTTGCATCCCTGCAGTGCGAAAGCCAATTGTGCGCTGCTCTGAAAAAGCTGCCGACCACTGCCGGCTGGTGGGACCGGGGATCGAACCCGGGCGTGGTTGTCACTACTGCTCCGCAATGCGGCGCCTTAACTGAGTGAGCTAACCCAGCAGCACAAAAATTTCATTTTTTAAATAAAAACATTTATTTATTTACTGAACTATACCGACTGATTTAGGCCCTACATATTCATGTTTAAATTCATTTATATTTTAATATATTTATTGCCCAATTTTGTCATTTCAAGATTTATTTCATTTCCATATTTATTAATTTCATGGGTATATTTATTTATTTATTTATTTATTTAATTTTGACCCCAATGGCATTCCATAAAAAACATCCATGCACAAGGACTTCAATTCCTCATGAGAATCTCTTGAATGCACCTCGATTGAATAATAACTGATCCGCGTTCCAATTAAATATCTTCTTTCACTCTCAGTAAAGCGTGGGTTGATTAAAAAGTGGGACTCAGCAATTAGATATAATTTTGCTTGCCAAATTAAAATTTTCAATCCTCACTTTTGGTATTAAGTGTAAGACTGCTGACTGCAGTTTGAGCACGTGATATGCCACTAAAAAGTGTGAGACTTTACGGGTATGCAATTTTGAATAATGCTGATTTAAATGCACCACATTGGGCATCCAAATGAATGATTGTTGTCTTACCTTAACAGGGAGAACTGGCAACACCAGATAGTGTGGAATGTTATCGGAGGGAATGTACTGTATATTTAGAAAATGACAGAACAAGTCAGGACTAATAATTGTGTTAAAGGTATGTATCTGTGCCCCCAATGTCCAGTTCTGGCGCCGGCCCTGCTGCCAGCCCACGTAATGTTACATGTAATGACGCTGTTGTCCCTCCCTCTGCCATACCTGCTGTGGTAGCCACTGTCACATTTGCAACCATTGCTCCCTCTTGGTATTCCCCTGAAAGTGATGGCCTGTGTGCAAGCAGCTCCAGAGTTCAGAAATTTTGAAAAGCTTGTCAGTTCATTTGAAGATGTTTCAGCCCAAGCAGACATCGTTCATTCGGTTGAGAATAATCCCAATTTATTTTCAAATACGCTGTTATGCACCACTGCCCTTTCACATGACATGGATGTTGGTGACCACCCGCCCATTAAACAGCATGCTTACCGAGACACTCCCACGAGTGCTCTCTCCTTAAAAACGATCATGTTGGCTCAGCTGCTTTTGTCACAAAACTTGACTTGATGAAAGGTGACAGACAAGTCCCATTAACCTTTCGTGCCTCTGAGATCTCCGCTTTCGGTACCCCCGATAGTTTTCTCCGGTATACTGTGATGCATTTGGGCCTTCGCAACGCACTCTCTACGTTCCAGTGGTTGATGAATACTGTCTTAGCTGGAGTAAAAAACTGAAGTTTACCCTGATGATGTTGTGGCTTACTCAGGTACTTGGTATGAAGAGAATTTACACTGAGAGTAATTTTTGAGACTGAGTAATGCCAACTTGACTTGAAATGTAGCTAAATGTGAGTTTAGCAAAGCTATGGTTACTTACTTTGGTAAGCAAGTGGGTTAAGGTGTGGTGCATCCAATCCATGCCAAAGTCCAAGCCATCCTAGAGCAGTGGTTCCCAAAGTCGGTCCTGGGGACCCACTGCGTATGTCGGTTTTTGCTCCAACCACAATTACGATCCCAGAGTTTTAACAAGCTGTTCATTTTTTAATTAGCAGTTGCTTGTCAGATACGAGGGACATTTTACCCCCTTAAACCACACTATGACAGAAATGGCTACGCATTCCATGAAATTTCAAAGCCCAACATTCATATTTTTTATTTTGATGTATTCCACGTAAGCACGACAATCAGGTGGCAGTATGTTTTATGTGATCAAATGCAAGACTCCAATCAGTCAGTAATCTGGTGATTAGGGTTCTGAATGCAGGTGCTCAGGTTCTTTCCTGAAACCAATCAAGTGACATTTAACAGGTTTGACTCATCGTTTGCTTTGTCTTTGAATTCTTAATTGCCTAATAATTGTTAGCTTTAATGACCTTGGATCCACAATTTTATCTACTAGAAGCCCATTTATAGATTCATGTCATCAGTTGCAAATTTCCATTTTTTTATGTTAGAGAAGTAATTTCCAATTTAGCACACTATGAAATGATTTTCATCATGGCCATTTTTGACATGTGGTTTAAAAGGATAAATAATCAGCGTGAACAAGAATAGTGCAATCAAGAGCAATGAGCAACTCATTAGCATTCTAAGATTGGAGCTGTGGTTGACACAAAAACCTGCGTACACAGTGGGTCCCCAGGACCGAGTTTGGGAACCACTGTCCTAGAGTACCCTGTTCCCCAAACCAGGCTTGAACTCCATTTCCCGGGGATGGCTGGGTCACGAAATGTCAAGCACATCATTGTCTCCAGCACTTTCCAAAAGATTCTGATGCCTGTCATCCCCCCCCCAAATTTTCAGAATTAACTGAAGCGTATGGGCCACCATGAAGTTAATATGGGCTTATTTCTTTCCCAGTTTGCCCTTGCTTACTGTGCTGAAGTGCCTCAAAATTAGATATTCTCACTGAGGTTGAAGATGTGGGTCCTCGGCTAGCACTGTACATGTGATAATTATTTTTGTCCATTCCTTGATTTTTTGTTTGATTATTTTAGCTAAATCAATGTGAATCATGCACACTAGTGCAATCATGAAACATACTGTTTTGGGGAAATCATTCTTGGCCTCCACAGGGCAGTCGCACATTCCTGCAAGACAGAAAAAAGCAAAAAAAAATCTGAGATCTCAATTTGAAACAGAGTGGTTTTATTGCATTACACATAGTTGGATTTCAAGAACAGAATTAAGATCTCACAGTGGGTCCATCATGGCATTGATTACTTTTTGTTGTCTGTCTCCAGATATGTTCCTCAACATTTCCCATTAATTACTGCAAACAACTGAGGTGAGAAATTTTAACAATAGCAGACCTCTTGACTCACTGGAAAGAAAACAATTGTATCTTTGGAGCACTGCTTTTATTTATTTTAAGTTCCTGGGATAAAGGCATTAAGAGATTTACTACATGTCATGGTTTGTGTATGTGCTTTTTGCTTTCTTTGTTACTCTCGTCCCTGACGACATCGTTTTCTTTCCCCATCGGATTTTTTACCCAGCTGGCTGATTAGTGCTGGGCGGTCCTTCCCCGGAGTCTATTTAAGCTGGCGGTCGCCACGCCTCCTTTGCTGGAGTGTCTGATGTTATGTTACTCGCTTCGGCTCGAGAAATCTTTAGTCAGGGTTTGCCAGTATATATATTATCTTTATTTCTGGGAAGCTTTGCTTCTTTAGGTTTTTATGGCACAATTGTCAAGTGCCTCGTTACTTTCTCGATTATTGAGATTTCTTTTCCTCTGTGGTTGCTCGCTTCGTTTCTGGCACTTAAGTCTTTCGTGTATTCAGAAACGCGAGCTCCTTGCCCTTCCAATTTTCGCTCTATCACTTTCAGCTGTGCCGGCTCCGTGCTTGGTGCACCTTCGCCTGCCCCGGCATCTGAAACTCCACTTTTACCAGCCATTACAGAACACTCCAGCCAGACATGGAGTCGTCAGCCGCGGCTGCGTTTGAGAAAGTGGTAGCTAACCAGCAGGCTGTCCTTTCTGGCCATAGCAAGGGTCTCTTAATGCTTAATACGATCGTTCCGACCGTGATCCTATGCCGGAGCCGGTCATTTCGGTTGATCAGATTTTGGCACCCGTCCAATGGGACATGGAACCCGTGGTACAGGAGGCCTTAAGAACCGATCCCGGTCCTGGTGGGGAACTGCCCGGTTGTTTATTTGTTCCCGTTGCGGTTCGTTCGCAGGTTCTCCAGTGGGGACACTCTTCCTGTCTGGCAGGTCATGCTGGGGCTCATCGAACCAAGCAGTTCTTGGCCCCATGATTTTGGTGGCCCAGTATGATGAAGGACATTCGGGAATTTGTGGCAGCATGCAGCACTTGTGCTAGGAATAAGGTGTCCCATCTCCCCCCCGCTGGCCTGTTACGCCCGTTGCCTGTACCCAAACGCCCTTGGAGCCATATTGCGCTCGATTTTATCACGGGCCTGCCCGTCTCTGATGGTAATACTGTCATCTTGGTCGTGGTCGACCGTTTTTCTAAGGCCGCTCATTTTATCGCGCTGCCCAAACTGCCTTCTGCGCGGGAGACAGCCATCCTAGTTGTTAATCACGTGTTCCGGCTGCATGGTCTCCCCCTTGATGTGGTTTCTGACAGGGGTCCTCAGTTTGCGGCCAAATTTTGGCATGCTTTTTGTAAACAGTTGAGGGCCATGGTGAGCCTGTCCTCAGGGTTTCATCCTGAAACTAACGGGCAGACTGAGCGTACTAATCAGTCCTTAGAGAATACTCTTCGGTGCTTAGTGGCCGATAATCCTGCATCCTGGAGTCATTTTTTGGCATGGGTTGAATACTCCCATAATTCATTGTGTAACTCCTCTACGGGTCTTTCTCCTTTCGAGGCCCAGTTGGGTTATCAGCCTCCTCTGTTTCCGGAGTCTGAGAAGGAGTCAGAGGTTCCCTCTGTTGAACACTTCATTCGACGCTGCCGCTCTGTTTGGACTAAGGTCCGTTCCTCCTTGTTGCGGGCTGGGCGTAGACAGAAATCTGCGGCTGACAGAAAGCGCTGTTTGGCCCCATCTTATCAAGTAGGCCAGAGAGTTTGGCTTTCTACTCGGGATCTCCCCTTGAGAGTTGAATCTCGGAAACTGGCCCCTCGCTTTATTGGCCCGTTTAAGATATTGCGGAACATTAACCCTGTCACTGTGCGTCTTAAGCTCCCTAGATCCTTGCGGATTCATCCCGCCTTTCATGTGTCCAGGCTTAAACCTGTTGGCACCAGCATCCTGGCACCTCCCGACAAATCCCCGCCCCCGCCGCGGATGATTGAGGGGGGCCCGGCGTACACCATATGTCGTATTGTGGCCGAGAGGCTAGTGGGTCGGGGATTCCAGTTTTTGGTAGATTGGGAGGGATACGGTCCCGAGGAGCGTTGTTGGGTCCCTGCTCGGGATATCCTGGACCCTGACCTTATTTCTGAGTTCCGTGCAAGGGGTTCTTTGGGAACGTCTAGGGCCA